TTGGAGCTAGGTCGACCAATCAACGGCCTGAATTTGTTAGTCTTCTTTTGAAATTATGTGTGTGTAGGTAAATCAAGTAATACAATAACAGAGTAGTAAAATAATAATTAGAAAATTTTGTTAAATTTTAAAAGCCTGAGAAATAATCTTCAATTGGTTTTAATATCTCAACTGCTAGATTTGATCAATCCAAAAATTACCAAATACTCCCTCTAGTCATTCTATCATATGGCACGACATTTTTGAAGGATTTTTTTACCCTTAATGTAAGGCATTTTCTAATGTTATCCTTGTCGTTATGGCTCATTGTATACTGTATTTTTTTTTTCTATTTTCAATAAGGGTAAAATTAGAATTTTTTTTTTCATTTTAAGACATTTAATAAGTTAACTGTTAATTTGTTATTCCTTGATTCCAATAAAATCGTTGAAATTAAAACATCTTATAAAATGAATCGGAGGGAGTACATGTTTTTTTTTTTTTTTGGTAACAAGGGAGTATATGTTTTAATAACCATATATAGCATAATCCCAATATATGTTTTAATTTCAGATAAGTAATTAATTAAGTGCATGTAAAGGAATCATTAAACAGTTTTAAAATAGATGACTTGATTTAGACTTAATTAAATAATGGTCACAAATTTTCAGTTTAAAATTTAGATATATATGTGTGTGTGTGGTCCTACATGTTGAATATTTTTCCAATATCAACAACTTTTAAAATAATTAAACAGTTTTAATTTCAGATAAGTAATTAATTAAGTGCATGTAAAGGAATAATTAAAAAGTTTTAAAATAGATGACTTGATTTAGACTTAATTAAATAATGGTCACAAATTTTTAAAGTTTAAAATTTGGATATGTGTGTGCGCGTGTGGGGTCCTACATGTTGAATATTTTTCCAATATCAACAACTTTTAAAATAATTAAACAGTTTCAATTTCAGATAAGTAATTAAGTGCATGTAAAGGAATATATAGAATCCACGTGTAAAGAATATAACATTTATTCTCCAATGGTAATTCTTACCAGCTTCTTCCACACTAAACTACGTAAATTTAATTGGAAATACCTTGACTTTACAATAGTAATAAACTGCAACAATAGAAATTGAGATTAAAAATTATAATTGGGATAGTTTATATAGGTGCTTTCAGTTGATAAAAAAAGGAAACTTTTGATTCTTTGAAATTAAAAATAATTATGTAAAACACAAATTTCAATATACACAGTCAGAATATAACATGAAGAAATACTTAGATAGATCGAGTGCGGCACGTTATTTGTAGTTTGTCTAATAAAAATGCTTCAAGTAATTTAAATATAATTTTATTTGATATTTTTTAGTTAACTTTATTTTTATAACAGAATGCACATTTGATTTTTTTACCTTATTTTTGTATTATTATTAATATCATAATTAATTTATATTTAATATAATTTAAATGTCATGCTTTGAAATGACATTAAATGTCATTCTCCCATTTTTTTCCCTCATAATTTGAACATTATCCCTAGAATGGTAGGTGGATAATGTTCTTTGCTTTGTTCTTCTTCTTGTGTACTTTGTTTTCTAGTTGGATGTACTTTTTCTCTTATAAAGTGAAGAAATTTTAATTTTAATTTATATGCTTAAAGTTTCGTACCTTAAATTGCCCTTGGAGATCAAAGCAGTCCTATATAAACATCGTCGTAAAGTTTCGCAGCATCAGCGATGATCTCTGTACCCACAGGAGTCTTAGCTATTATGAAAAATGATAGTTAGGTATCTAAAACATTATTAAAAGATAAGTTTAATACATACATGACATAACTAGTTATTTATATCATTTCAACAAAATATTACCCGGGTATATTTTTCCATGCCTGATCATTATAAAATTTATAAATATACATACAAATATTTTAGGTCACCATCACCACGTGAAGGCGGTCGAAGTTGCTCTGTTAATTACCCTAGTGACGGACCTAAACTGGCTCAAGTAGTCAAGTTGCGGTACCGTGCTGGTCGGGCTTGCCTTTCTGATCACCCAAGAAAAAACATCATCAATAGCTAATTGATGTAGGTATATTTAAAGTATCTCATCATGTAATTTATTATGTCATAATTGTTAAACTTTTGAGTTAACCTTATCAATTTAATATTTTTACTTTTTTAATTTATAAAATGATGTCAACTCATTCATAAATTCAAACTAAATATAAACTCAATTAAACTCATAAGTTTACCTCCATGTTATCATTTTTATATTTTTAACTTATAAAATCGTATCAACTAATTCATAAACTTGAACTAGATGCAAGTTTGATTAAACTTGTTCATCAATTTTTTTTTGAATTGATCAAGTTAAGTATATATTATAAAAATTCAGTTCATAAACGACCTGATTCAACGAAAAAAAATTTGAAATGCAAAAACTAATTTTAATAAAAAATAAAAATATCAAAAATAAGTTCTCCTATTTTAAAATTTTTATGTCTTGTATATGATAATTTATCAATGTAAATGAGTTTAATTTCAATGATTTACATTTTTAATATATTTAAATTGAATTTAAAATTATATTTTAATAATTATTTATTAATAAAGATAAACTCTAATAAGTTTTCAATTTAAATTTATAATACGCGTTAATAATTTTATCACGAGTATCTTGTATTAGGCTCTTCCTGATCTGAATCGCCTTGACTTAGCTACCACTATGCCGACTAAAGACTAAGATACAATTCAAAGTATTTAATTCTCACAGGGACGTGATATTCCTTTCCAATCCAATCACAAAATCAATATAGATTATAGACGTCCCAGCTAGCCGCATTAATTGACTTCTCTTAATTTTATAAGTGATCTTAAAATCGAAAAGTGGCGATGACTAAATTTACAAGATTACCTATCTATTCGTAATAATTTTTTTGTTCATTCACAAGTGATTCCTTAAATTCACAGCTATTTTTATTAAATTCATAAGTGACATTCAATTAATTATTTCAACAAAGACCATGATCCTTTCATAATGTTTCAATAATTTAAGGTATTCAATTTTTATTAATTTCTTTACATAATTCACAAATGTCATTTTGCCATTGAAATATATAATATTCACCTTTTATCAAAGAAAAATATAACTTTCACCAAATAATAATTTTGAATTTTCCCGTGAATATTAATTATGATTGTGTATGATTTGGTGATTTTCGTCAAGTTGTGCTGATGCCTAATGTGTAACTAATATTTTATTCAAAATATTTTTAATAAATAAATCATTCAACTTTTTTCTTTTAAGTGAAATGCCACGTAGGATAAATTTAAAAAGATAATATTAATTTTAAAGAAAATTAATTAATTTATTGAAAGTATAATTTATTTAAAAATATTTTATGTTTTTTTAGCCATGGGAGAATAATTCTAATTTTGATTCTTGAAAATTTATAAGATAATGATGATGTTTGTGTAAGACTATTTTAGTTATTGTATTTAGGCATTGATGTTTATTAATGATCAAACACCAGTTTTTGGTGATTGAAAAAAGTAAGACTTTTTTCCTCGTTAATTAATGATCAAACACAACTCGGTGGGGACAGTGAGGATTCCCTCGACTCCGAATTTCCTCAAATATGTTTTGATCTGCAGGGCCGTCGGATGCAATTATTTTGTTTTTTTTTTAATTTTTTATAAATTAAAGTTGCATTTTTATACTTTAACTTTACAAAATTTAAATTGTATTTTTAAAATTTATCATTTTTTAATTTTATGATATTATGTCAACATGTTGATTTATCTAACATGTTAAAGAAACAGCTATCAATTTTTATGTTAATTTAGAGGAGGAATGAGGGTAAATGTTAGACTTTTTTCAACTAAACTGCTATAAAAATAAGGATTGAGATTCACCTCCAACTAATTGCTCCAAAGTTTTTATCACTCGTGTCAACTTTAATTAATTTTAAAATAATTACATAAAATAAAATGTTGAAATTTTTAGTATGCATAGGTATATTCTAATAAATTTTAAAGTAAAACAAATTGTTTATATAGTGTGAAAGAAAGGAACTCTGAAACAAAATATATGTCATAAAATTTTGGGAGAATTTCAGTTAAGGATTAGGGTTTAAATTTAATTTTAGGTGAGTTTAAAAATATTTTGAAATTTTAATTTAGTTCAGGAGAGAAAAGTAAAAATAATTTTGATGGTAAAAAGACCCCTTTATCTATTATGCAGAATTACTAATTATTAATTTTCTTACTCTGCTTGTGAATTTACAAGTATGAGTTGCAAATTAAATGAGTTGACATATTAATAATTATAGAAGACTTGATATTAATTTTTCAATTATAGGTAGTAATATCATTTGTTAAATTGCTACACTTTACTTGTTAATTTATTAATATCAATTATAAAGTATTATTGATAGGTCTTGTAATTTATTAACATCAATTGTAAATTACTGACGAGTCTTGTAATTTGCAGCTGATGTTAGTAAATTAATATATAAAGTTAATAAATTAATAACTAATATTATTGATTATCTTATAAACGGATATAATTTATAAATGATATTGATAAGTTAACAAGTGTAATAATAAAATTAATTAATAAATCTACATAACATGTGAAGGGTGTTTTGGTCTTTTTATGATTGAAATTTTTTTGACTTTTTTTCCTTTAAACTGAATTAAGATTTCAAAATATTTTTGAACCTATTTAAAATTAAATCTCTTTCTTAATCTTTAATTAAAATTCTCCCTAAAAATTTATCGACTCTCCAAAGCCGAACTTCCCAGAAGGTGGCTAATAGTTCCAATTTCCAAATGCGGGAACCGTTGGATTAAAAATGGGATTTGGACGGCAGATATGAAGTCGGTAGATGTGTGGAGTCCGAACTATAAAGCTCAAACAGAGAAACTGCGATAAAGCTCAAAGTTGATTCAATTCAATCTGACGCCCCTTCTCTTCCCCATCAATCTCTTCCGGAGAAAACTACCTCCCGCCACTAAGCATGGCAGACTTAGGCCGCTTGGCCATCCAGCTCGCCGAGACGGAAATGCCTCAGTTAATGGCTTATCGTGACGAGTTCAGCTGCTCCCAACCTTACAAAGGCCTCAAAATCGCCGATTGTGGCAACTTAACGGCTGAAACCGCTGTCGTTTTCGAGACTTACGCAGCCCTCGGTGCCTATGTTCTGTTGTGCTCCTCCCCGCTGAAGGATCCTGTTGTAGCTGCCATCATCGCGCGTGGCAACGCCGCCTTGTTCCCTTGGCCTCTTGATTGGGGCAACGGTGGTGCTCCCCATCTGATTCTTCGCCCCGGCGAGATTTATTGGAATAATACTGTGGGTGTGACAAAGGAGATGGTCGCTGATGCCAAGAAGCTTTATGAGGATTATATGGCTTTCTCCAAGAGCAAGGTACGTAATTAAAATCTATGATGAGTTTAACAGCAATTGGTTGAATATGCGCTTTTGTTCTATGTTTGGTACAGGTCACTTGCACGTACGGCTTTCCCCATTTGCTTATGAGAGCCACTAATGGGACTATTTCCGGCAAGTTTGTTGTTGTGTATGGATTTGGGGATGGTCAGAGCTCCACTGATGCTCTACTGATGCAACTTGGTCCACACGTACGAGTGGCTACGACAGCTATAACCAACGAGGATGTTCTCCGTGAGGGTGACATATTTGTTAACACTGTGGGTGACAAAGACACCATCATCAAGGTTAATCACATGAAGAAGATGAAAAATGATGCCATTATTTGCAACCTGGGTGATTTTGACAGTACTGGAATTGACATGAGCGAGCTTACTACATATCCAGACGTGAAGCGCATAACCATGGAGCCTGGAATAGACAAATGGGTCTTCCCTGAGTCTAACACAGGCATCGTCGTATTAGCTGAGGGACTTCCAATGAAGATGGGTCTTTCCTTTGCGGACCATGGAGCCGGGTCGACAAATGAACCAGGTTCGGGTTTGGACGATCATGAGGTTGTGGCTTCTCCTTCAGTTGCCAACCTTGAAGCTGATCATGGTGATGAATCGACCAATGATGTACGGCCTGAGTTCATTAGCTTGTCTATTAATGGAGGCGATCATAATACAAACCTCATCACTTTAGGTGCGGGCCATGGAGCCAGGTCAACAATGGCATCTCCTTCTGTTGCCAACATCGAAGCTGACATACAGCCTGAGTTCACTAGTGTGTCCATTAGTGGAGGCGATCATACAAACCTCATCGCTGATGATGGGATTGGGATGAACTTCAACATCATGGGGATGCTGCCTCGCAATTCGCGTACCTTTGTGATTCTCGTCATATTGCTCACTGCTGTCGCTGGGATGGTTTCCAAGATTGTGTGATCGGGTTCTCCTCTGGATCTCTCTCTCTGAATCAAAAGCTTGTATGTAAAATTTGATTTGTGTGATTTCGACCTAAAAATAAATAAATAAATAAATCGAATTGGCATGAGTTTGGTTTTTATACTTATTTGGATGAGTGATATTTATAATTTTAGATTAATTAAGTTGATTTATGAATATTTCATGCGGATAGCTTAAAACCTTGATACTTTTTTTCCCCTTTGAAATGGAATTTCCAATAGACAATCCGCAAATCGAAAAATTATTTCTCAACAAAGTTTGGATGGGTCTTTTATGCTCGAACTCCATTAATTGGTTCACAGAAAATACTCAACGGACCAACTGAGCGTTTTGGTGGTGAGCTTCTCCTGCTAATCACACTGCTTAGCACTGAAACGGGATCCGTCAATGTCACTTCCCACGTACGTAACCTTCACTTGGCGGGCCCTTGATGCTTACCTTCCACAAATTGACATATTTTATCACAATCTAAAAAAATCTTATGATTTTACTTCACTCTATTTTTCTCCATGTTAATGAGGTGACAAAAATTATGATAAAAAATTAATGATATGCCTTATAAAAAAGATATAAACAAGACATTCTCTTTATTAATAGGAGTTGGGCTTAGCAAAATAGGTTATCATAATTTGACAAATTAAGTTTGAATTTTTAATAAAAGAAGTGCTCATATTTAATACTTGATTATATCCTGAATAGAATTGTTTCAATAAGAGAATATTTATGAGTAATAAAAAAATGCATTTTCTCTGTGCCTTGTGAACATAGGACCGAGGTGTGTTTGATTATTAATTAACAAGTTAAAAAAGGTCTTAATTTTTTCAATCACCAAAATCTTGTGTTTGAGACACATACAAGTCAAAAATGGTTGCTGCATGAAATTCAAACGTTAAATTATAGTTTGATTACTTCTCAATTACGGAACTTCGCATTAGTGTGTGTCGATCATCTGCATGCTACTATTAATTAAGTATTAATAAATAGTTGAACAGATATGTCACCTAAAGAAAACTAGATAAGTAATTAAACATCAACAGCCAAATACAATAACTAAAATAGTCTTACACAAACATCATCATTATCTTATAAACTTTTAAGAATCAAAATTCCAATCATACTGCCTTTATTAAAAAATTAAAATATTTTTAATTGAGTCACATCTCAAATAAGTTAGTTAATAATCTTTAAAGTAATTCCATATTTCCATCTTTGCTTTTATTTAATAGGACATTTTATTTAAAGGTGAAGGTTGAATAATTTATTTATTAAGAATAATTTTGAAAAAATTATTAATTACACATTAAAAAACTAAAAATACCTTATATTTTTAATATATAACCTCAAAAAAATGCTTTATATTTTTAAATAAAAGGAATAATATTATTGCTTAATATTTCTGAACACATTCCTTATCATATCCCAATCATAATATTTCTAATCTAACGCTACTGTCCCGCCACTCTCCTATTTTTCTACTCTATTATTATTTGCCTAATTTGCTTTTAGGCACACTACATACACAAATTGCTTTACTTGTATATTTCCAACGATCCCTCTGTCTCTCTCTCTCTCTCTCTATTGTATTTAAAGGTCATAAATTATCTATTGTATTTAGCTTTATTTTATTTTTCAGTTTAGTCTCAGCTTAAACCTTTACTTTCATCCTTTAAATTTACTTGGTTTTAATTGCTTCCAATTTTATCTTAAGATTCCTTTTTGTTGTTTAGATTAGGGACAAATTAAAATTAAGAGAAGTGATGAGTGCTGCTAGCTAGAAGGACTATATAAAAAGACATGAATCCTTGTATTAACAAAATCCATTTATATAGGAATTCAGAGAACTCGAAGATATGATAGAGAGAGCAGCAATCAATTCTGGTCTATCACTTTCTTTAATAATAAAATAAATACAAAATATGTAATTTAATCAGCAAGGAATATAGTACATGTGATAATTTATTCAGGAAAAACATGCGAGCCAGGGTGGGTCGGAGTCGTCGCAGAGAGATTCGAAATTGGAATCAAATGTTAAATGACAACAGGGATAATGGCAATTAAGAAACATGTGAAGGTATTAATTAAATGACAATTGAGGACATTAAATTATTGCAATGCTAGGAAAGGACCATAATCTTCTTTCTTTTTTTCAAAAAAGGACCATAATCATTACTTGTAATTGAAAAAAAAAATTGAAATAGCATATAGAAAGTCACTCACAAATTTAAAGTTTGTTGTAAACTTCAGAAATGTCACTTGTGGATTTATAGAAAGTCAATTGTGAGTAAATAGATAATATTATAAATTTATATATCATCATGTATGAATTTAATGATAACTAATTATGAATTTATGAAGAATCAATTGTGTGAATAGATATTAAAAAATAAGATGGGGGTCCTATATCGTTATAGATTTATAATTAAGACTATCTATATTTATTCATGACAAATGTTCCATAAATTTATAAGTGGTATTATTTAAATTCGCAATTGAATGTTCCTAAATTATAAGTAATGATATATAAATTTATGATTTTATCAATTCATTTACAAGTAACCTTAAAAGTTAAAATTCATGAGTGATGATGTACAAATTTATGAAACTATATATCAATTCAGAATTTATTTTTTGTTAATTCACAAGTGAATATATTCCTTAAATTCACAACTATTTTCTATTAAATTGACGAGTAACATTCAATTGGTTATTTCAATAATTATTTATTTTTTAATTGTAAATAACAACCATGATCCTTTCATGATAGTCTAATAATTTGAGATCTTTTACATAATTCATAATTGTCACTTTCCCTTTAAATATATAACATTAACATTTTATTAAAAAAAAACATTTCCACCAAAAAGGAAATATAACATTCACCAAATATTAATTGTTAATTTGACCGCGAATGTTAATTATTATTTTGTATGATTTGGTGATTTTGGTCAAGTTGTGACAACGGAAAACTCTGCAACCAATAATGAAACAATGAGAAGAGCCAATTATTGTTTGGCTTTAATTTGCTAAATATAGGTTCCTCAAACACCACAGACATATTTTATTTTTTATGTTTTCTCCTCTTTTATTTATGCAATCCAAATGCTTTATATATTTTTGTTCAATATTTCTTTTTTCTGATATAGATTATAGAGTGATATTATTTTTTGGTAAAACATAACTTTAGGTTCTTGTACTTTACTTACGTTTTGTTATTGGTCCATATACTTTTTTTTTATGTTTTTGATTTATGTACTTTTGTTTTTTATTATTTTAAATCTTTTCATGAACAAAGTATAAGAACTTTAGAGAAACTTAAAACAATAAAAAATAAAATTACAGGGACCAAAAATACCAAAAAAATACAAAGACCAATAGCAAAATACGAGTAAAGTATAAGGATCTAAAGTTATGTTTTCCCTCACTTTTTTCACGATGACCAAGTCATTAATTTTTCTTATATAGATATTAGGGTGAATTTGCATTTTAACTATTGAACTTTTTTTTTTTTTGATAAGTGATAGGCATCCTATACTGACAAGTGGAGAAATTTTACCCCTAAATTATTTGTCAGCCGTTAACTTTGCTATTTTTTACTAACGTAACATTTGTGAAGGCCCACACACAGTGACATGTAAAACTTTGATCATGTCCTTTGATGCTAATTTATCCTTAAACTATTTTTCAAGAGCATTGGACACATTGAAATCTTATTAAAATAAAATATAATATATATTATTAAAATATTAAGTATTTTAATATTTAATAATTTAAATATTATTTATAAATATTCATTTAAAATTTATAAATTATTTTTTTTTTAAATATTAACAACTCAAACTATAAAATTCGAAATGAGCACATACGTGAAAAAGTGAGGGTGGCACCTATTGAGGAAAAAATGGTAGAAAATCGGTTGAGATGGTTTGGGCATGTACAAAGAAGACCAAGGGAGGCACCAGTGAGAAGAGTGGAACATATAACTTTGAGTCCGATTAAGAGAGGTAGAGGAAGGCCTAAGAGAACACTCTTGGAAGTTGTTGAACGTGATCTCTTAATTAATAATATTTCTAAAAGCTTAATAAATGATAGAGCACAATGGCGTCTTGCAATCCATGTAGCCGACCCCACCTAGTGGGATAAAGGCTTGTTGTTGTTGTTGTTGTAACAACTCAAACTAGCTTTTACAGAAATTTATAAATGACTTGTAATATTTTATATATCAATCATATTTTTAATATTGATTGAGTTGCTTAAATTTTTTAAAGTCATTTTCTATAATTTTTTTGATCAACTACTGGTCTTCTCCAAAATATTACACCACTCAATTTAATAATTTAAATATTTTTTATATTTTGTAATTTTGTAATGAAAATGAAGGGAATGAACCTTCAAATTATTTTCCTATAGATTAATGAGTATTATAAACCCTAAACTATTGCACGAATAACATCCTAAACCCTGAATTTCTGAAATGTGTAAAAACTTTCCTCAACTTCTGATTTCCAAGCACCTAAAACCACATAATTAAGTTGAAAAAATGGCTATCATTTTTAAGGGTAAAAATGAGTGATATATTAGCGTGCGATGGGGCCCCACAACTATAAAAGTATCGAACATTTTCTACAATTTAATGGTGGGTTTCAGGAGCTTGGAATTAAGAAGTTAAGGGTAGTTTTTACACATTTCAAGATTTCAGTGTCCAGGATGCTATTCGTGCAATAGCTTAGGATCTATGATGCAAGTAAGTTTTCTTGTTACACATTATGGGACAGGAGATATCTTATAAATTAAATAAGCATTTTTTGTTGGCATATTGTTGGTCATGATTTCTCGTAATTTTTTGCTGAGTCTGTGCCATGAGTGACAACATGTGATGCACATATGCACATGCTACGACATGTGACATGGCAAGCAAAATCTCATTTTTGCTCCCCTGTTCTGATCTAATTTGATCCAACTCCTATCCTAGCCTAATTTAG